CATCTGAATCTCTTGTTCTCCATCAATTACATAATAAGTCTTGAATAAGGACTTATCATATAATACATGTACTGTTGCACATGTATCATATCACCAATCGGGAACCTTTCCCTTGATAGCATAGATTTCGCTTATGGTGGTCACAATGTTGTCTTCTTTGATGGAGCTTTAGAGTTGTTCCTTTTCCGATATCAACATTCTTTTGCATAATGTCCAGTTCACAGACAAAACAATCACATTTGATCTTTTTCTTGAAATTGTTAAAGTTTCTTGAATGCTTTCTCTTGTTGAATTTAGTAGNTATTGCATAATGTCCAGTGCACAGACAAAACAATCACATTTGATCTTTTTCTTGAAATTGTTAAAGGTTCTTGAATGCTGTCTCTTGTTGAATTTAGTAGAAGGCTCGGTCTTCTTCACGACATTAGCTTTTGAAATGCATTCATATGAATTATCATTCTTATATCCTGTCCTAGACTCTTCCTCAATTCAAAGATGTTTTTGCAATTGTTCCAAAAATAGTATTCGGAACTATGCATTATTTTCTTCCGTATTCTTTCCAAGTTCTGGGAAGTTTAGCAATGATTGCTCCCACTTGAAAAGTTTCAGGAATCTCAATCTTGACCACCTTCAACTTGTTGACAAGCACTTGCAATTCATGAATTTGGAGAAGAATGGAGATATTCTCTAGAAATTTGAAATTGAAGTACCTTCAGATTAAAAATTTTCTTAGTACCTTCTTTTTCGGCTTTGTACTTACTCTCCAAAGCATTTCAGATTTCATTTGCTGATGTTGTGTTGGTGTAGAGATCATATAATCCGTCCGATAATGCATTCAGAATGTGATCGCGGCATATAAGTTCATCTTCTTGACATTTTTGTCTTTCGGCCCTCACCACATCGATTTCTCAATTTGTTGATTCCGGTAGTGACACCGATTCCGGATCAAGTGTGTAAAAAATCTTTAACACTGTAGAAACTTCAGTTTATCTTGTCATCTTGTGAAATTCGTTCCATCAAAGCGATCCAACCATACAAGATCTTAATTCATCAACTTGATCGTCGCCAAAATGCTTTCGTTCTCCATTGCAAAGTTATAGTTTGAGAATGTTGGGAAATTTGATGACTTCCACTTGAGGGATTGGAGAATAAAGCAATGAACTAAAATCGAAAAAATGAAAATTACCAATGAAAGCAACGAACCAAAACCAGAAAAATGAAGATCACCAATGAAATCAACTAACCAAACACCAAACCAAGAAATGGATTTGAAAACGAACACTGATGGCTTGAACAGGATATCGATGTCCTCAAACTATATTTGACCCCTCTCGGATTGAAATAATGCTTGAAGAGATTAAGGTAAACGATTTACAGGATTTAAACAAGCCCTGTAAAGAATTAACACTCAAACCTTAAGTGTAATTCTCCAAAACTTGAAGAACACTAA